TTTTAAAACTAACTACCTTCCTTCCTGTCTGTATGATTTAGTAATATTGAGCTGTTCTAGCGGTTATGCTCTAGTATGTACATGTATAAATCGGCCATTATTAAATTGATCCTGTTTTTCCATTTCTGTTATTCTGCTAGAATGAGTGATAACAGATTTCAAACAATGTGATGTGAAATAACATGCTGACTTAGACAAATATTTCGAAGTTATTTTTTATGCATGAGAAAGCTTTTCCAGTTATTTACATCAGCCGGTCTTATTTCTTTAGATTGTATGGGTTCTATATTGTGACATTATATGTTTAGACTATGATGGAAACCTTCTTGACGCCTGCATGTGTGCTTTCTTAGCAGCTCTGAAAAATGGTAAGTTGTGTTCATATACTTTGAGATTTACTTAAAATTTAAACGCAGTGCAGATTTAGCACTATATTGGATTGAAGGAAAACAGCAATTGTAATGGCAACCAGGGTTTGACAAAAGTACCGGCTTATCTACAGAAGTTAGATGAGGTACAAATTAGGTCTGGGATAAAAAGATAGCCTTATTGGGGCCCACCACTGCTACAGTCATTGCTGCTGCTGCTGCTGTTGTTGTTGTTATTATTATTAATTAATTAATTAATTAATTAATTAATTTAATTTAATTTAATTTAATTTAATTTAATTTAATTTGTATACCGCCCTTCTCCAACAGGACTCAGGGCGGTGAACAGCCACGGTAAAAACACAACATATAAAATTTAAAAACAATTTAAAAAACATTAAATACTTTTGGCCATCAATTTAAAATAACCCAATTAAAACCAATTATAAATTTAAAACCGTAAGGTTGGGGTCAAGCCAGCCCGGCTAGATGGAATAAATGTGTTTTCAGGGCCCGACAAAAAGTCCGGAGGTCTGGTATCGTGCGTATCTCTGGGGGTAGGTTGTTCCAGAGGGCAGGTGCCGCCACAGAGAAGGCTCTCCCCCTGGGGGTCACCAGCCGACATTGTCTGGCTGACAGTACCCTGAGGAGTCCCTCTCTGTGTGAGCGAATTGGCCGGTGGGAGGCTATTGGCGGCAGAAGGTGGTCTTGTAAATACCCCGGCCCTAAGCCATGGAGCACTTTAAAGGTGGTCACCAACACCTTGAAGCACACCCGGAAGACCACAGGAAGCCAGTGCAGCTCGTGCAGGAGAGGTGTCACATGGGAGCGCCCCATTGCTCCCATAATCCCCCGCGCGGCCGCATTCTGGACCAACTGGAGCCTCCGGATGCACCCCAAGGGGAGCCCCATGTAGAGAGCATTGCAGTAGTCCAGGCGGGAAGTGACGAGTGCCTGAGTGACCGTGCGTAGGGAGTCCCGATCTAGAAAGGGACGTAACTGGCGTATCAGGCGAACCTGATAAAAAGCCCCCCTGGCCACGGCCGTCATATGCTCTTCTAAAGACAGCCGTGTATCCAGGAGGACGCCCAAGTAGCGAGCCCTTTCCGTGGGGGGCCAATGATTTGCCCCCAATAACCAGCGATGGCGCCAGCTGGCTATATCGGGACGCCAGAAGCCACAGCCACTCGGTCTTGGAAGGGTTGAGTCGGAGCCTGTTTCTCCCCATCCAGGCCCGCACGGCCTCCAGGCACCGGGACATCACTTCAAGGGCATCGTTGGGGTGGCCTGGGGTGGAGATGTACAGCTGTGTGTCATCAGCGTACTGATGGAACTCCACCCCAAGGCCACGGATGATCTCACCCAGCGGCTTTACATAAATGTTGAACAGAAGGGGCAAGAGGACCGACCCTTGCGGCACCCCACAAACAAGGCACCTCGGGGTTGACCGCTGCCCCCCTGCCAACACAGATTGAGACCGGTCAGAGAGGTAGGAGAACCACCGCAAAACGGTGCCCCCCAACCCCTCCAACCGGTGCAACATGATACCATGGTCGATGGTATCAAAAGCCGCTGAGAGATCTAACAGGACCAAGATAGAGGAGCATCCCCTATCCCGAGCCCTCCAGAGATCATCCACCAACGTGACCAATGCCGTTTCCGTGCTGTACCCAGGCCTGAAGCCGGACTGGAGCGGATCTAGATAGACAGCTTCATCCAGGTACTGTGGAAGCTGCCGCGCCATCACACTCTCAACAACCTTCGCAATAAAACGAAGGTTGGAGACTGGACGATAGTTAGCCAAAACAGCTGGATCCAGAGAGGGCTTCTTGAGGAGGGGCCTCACCACCACTTCTTTCAAGGCGGCCGGTAGGACACCCTCGCTCAAGGAAGCGTTAATAATCCTCTGGAGGCCAGCACCAACCAGGAGGGACACGGGTCCAATAAACATGTGGTTGCGTTCAGCTGTCCCAGAATCCTGTCCACGTCCTCGGGAGCCACAGGATCAAACTCCTCCCAGATAACACTCTCAAGACCTGCCTCAGTCATCTCGTCTGGATTTACCCAGTCAGAGGCCAGGCCTTCCCGAATCTGAGTGATCTTGTCATGCAGATACTGCACAAAATCCTCAGCTCGACCCTGCAAGGGATCATCCCGCGCTCCCAGATGGAGGAGGGAGCGGGTCACTCTAAACAGGGTGGCTGGGCGATTATCTGATGACGCAATAAGAGCGGCATCTTTCCCTTATCAATTTCTTGAACAAAGGGCCAAATACTTCTTTCTAAATTTTGTTGTTAGAAAGGACACAATTCACAGAAGGATTTCCTTGTTCTGAATATTTTTAAATCAAAAGCTACTTATTACATTTCTGTCAATCTACTGTGTTTATTTGAGGATGCCTCTATTTTTCTTTATAAAAATGTGCTTTATGAAATAATTTTCCAGTCTTGCTTTTTCCATATCTATTCTTTGTTATTTCAGTGCTTCTGCCTGTTGTTGCAATAAATGCAGAAACTGGTTTGGTGGAAGTTAATTTGAAAGAGAAGAATCCTTTGACTATTAAAAAACAACCAGTGGCAACGTCATTTGTGTTGTTTGAGTAAGTATGTGTGTAGATTATAATAAACAATACCATGTTACCAGATAACCCCAAATTTGAGCAGCTATATTAGCAAAGAATACTTGGGTGCCTCTTCCTTTGGGAGCCCTCTAGTACACCAAAAGAACATGGTATGAGCAGAGGGAGGGAGATTCACTTAAAAATCCATGAAAATTGTTTCTGCTATCCAGGTATTCCTCATTTAGCAACTACAATTGGGACCAGCAATTTAGTTATCAACTGATGCGGTCACCAAGTGAAAAATCATGGAACCACTACTGCTTACAATGTTACTTTAGCTTTTCTTTTCCCCCACTCCCCCACTCTTTGGAGCATGCACCCTGGTGCTAGGATATTTAGGAAGAAGGGGATTAATCTTTGTATTTACGTTCTTTAAGAGGAAGCGTTCACCACATTAAATTTCATATTGTTGGATAGAGCCCATTGTTCAAGTCTGTCAAGATCCATTTGGATCCTGAGTTTGTCTTCTGGTCTTCTTGTCTTGTATTCAGTTTCAATTCAGGAAAGTTCTCTGAATGTCATTATAGCCTTTATAAATGATGGAAATGGGGAGGAAAAAATGGAAAACACTATATGCATGCACTTAAAATGAAATCTCTCTCACTGATGAACAGAAGAAATTTATATACATGAAAATGGGTCCATCTGAATATGGATAAGATGATAGTCGCTCTGATAAATGTCCAGCTATTTTTTCTGAGAGGATCAGTTTAGTTATTTTTTACTCAGAGTAAGGCACAGATTGAAGAAATCCTTATTGCCTAAGTTAACAATATGTCTTTTAAATTAATTTCTTTACAAGTCTTTGAATTAAATTGAAAATGGCTTCAGCATTGATGCTTATGATAGCAATAATAATCCAGGTGATCTGGAAAGTACATAAATGAACAAAGGAACCTGATGGTGCTTTTTAATGTTGCTGTTACATGCACTGTATTGTCTAATTGAACAGTAAATATACACTGCTCAAAAAAATAAAGGGAACACAAGCAGAAGACATCCAAGATCTGAATGAATGAAATAGCCTTATTAAATACTTTGTTCATTACATACAGTAGTTTTGTGTTCCCTTTAGTTGTTTGAGCAGTGTATAAACTACTGTATGTAAAGAACAAAGTATTTAATAAGGCTATTTCATTCATTCAGATCTCGGATGTCTTCTGCTTGTGTTCCCTTTATTTTTTTGAGCAGTATATATAATTGTTATGGATTTAAAAAATCTCAGAAAAGTTAAATTTTGGCACATATGTGCATATATCTTCAACAGCACACTAATGGTAGTTGACCCAACTGCAGAAGAAGAAGACTTGGCATCTGGGACTTTAACTATTGTGACTATCGAAGATGACAAACTGTGTTCTGTTCATAAACCAGGTATTAATACTAAATTATTAAGAATTAATATTTCCCAAATTTTCTAATTTAATTTTAATTTTGTAGGTGCCATTCAGGAGTATCTGTGATACTGCATTTTCCATTTCTGCACTACAGATGGGATGGGATGTGTTTCAATCATGAACATTGAGTGGTGTAGTGACCTAGTGGTGAAGGTGCTTCCCACTCGGAAGGTTAAGAATTCAATCCTAGGTAGCGGCAGATGTTTCTATCCTTAAGTGCAAAGAAAAAACTCAAACTACGTGCGACATCAGGAAAGGCATCCGGCCAGTAAACACTCAGCTCCATCCAGTCACCCTGACTCTTATTTATTTGTTCAATTTGTATGCTGCCTTTCTCCGAAGACTCTACACCAAATTAAGGGATTACAGGGTGATAAAAAGGGAATTTTTCAATCATGAGAATGTCTTGTTGGTTAATTCTACTAAAAACATTTGGTTAATCACAAATATATGGATGTAATTTAATGGGCAATTTAAAAGCTCAGACAGTATTAAATACATTGTATCCTTGTTTTCTGTTTCTTTTTAAGGTGGAAGCACAATAACAGAAGCAAAGCTTCAAGACTGTATCAGTCGGGCAAAAGCACGACATAAAGAAGTACAGAAACTAATGGATAAAATAACCAAAAATGTATAATTAGTAAGAGGTGTATTTACTATTTGCTCATAAAACCATTACTTTAATAAACATGTTACATTTATGAAGTTCCATTATTTCACGATATTATTTAATCTTGAAATTTATGTAACATTTCCAGATAAATAATTTCATCTTAAAACAGTATAGTTTTTTTTTACAAATTTCAGCTGATTGCTATGCCTCAGTGTAGCTACAAATTCAGCTTCATGAAAAAACATTTTTTTAAAAAAGATGATTATTAAATACATACATATCTCTCAAATGCAAGTTTCAGGATTCTGATACCAGTGAAGCCTTTTTTTTTTCTTTTTACTTTTTGACTGGGTACCTAGATGATGATGTAGTAGAGCTGCTTATGCTGCTACCGCCATAACCATTTGATGGGGAAAGAACTGTAATGATTGCCAAGAAAAAAAGAAGAAAAATTTATTTTTTTAAATTTCATGTATTTTTAATTTCATTAATTTATTAATTTTAATTTCATTTTTATCTCCAAAAGAATGAAATAAATAATGCAATATTAAAAACTATAATACAGAGAATGCCTGGATTTTCTCTGTGTAATGTTTAACTGAAATAGTTATTAAATGATATGGATATAAAGGTATATTAAAATACTCTTAAATGCCATATCTAGTTTTCACTAGCCATAGGAATATGTGGAATTCAACCAGATTGTTTTGTCTCTGTTATAGTAATTCTACTGTTTAAGCACATGGCTCATCTATATTTAATTTTTTTAATAAGAATAACATATTAATGGAAACAGAGACTAGCACCATAGTGATTTGCAAATTATGGGACACATAATGTATTCATTGCCATAGAGGACCCAACTATACCTACATCAAATGTAAATTAATTGTATTATTGTCATTCATGGTTGTCCCAAAGGTGCTTTTTCAACTAGAGTGCAACTAGACTTTCTTGTTTTTCTTTGAAGATGTTTCGCATCTCATCCAAGAAGCTTCTTCAGCGCTGACTAGATGGTGGGGAATGGAAAGATTTATACTCCTTGCAGACAGCTGGTCATTTGCATTCTTTTAGAGAGTTGCTGAGGCCGCTTGGAGGTTTATGTGTCATTAGAGTCACTGGAGTAGTGCAAATGGGTGTGGAGCCTTCTTGGAACTGCTAAAAGGACTGTATTGTAGACTGGAGATAGATGGTGTCATATCCCTCCTCTGTTGAGGAAGGGCTGTTAAATTTTGACATAGATGGCCTCTTCGACCCCTTTTTCAAACCATCAGTCCAAAATGTGGGCTTTACTGTCTTCAAAAGAGTGGACTTTGTCTTTTAAATGCAGATGGACTGCTGAATCTTGTCCTGATGGGTTTGTTCTCCTATGTTGTGCCACGCATTTATGAAGTGGTTGTTTTGTTTCACCAATGTACATATCTACACGTCTCACTGCATTACACTGCATATACCATAAACTGAGCAATGTTCTGTTGAGAGGGGGCTGTGGAACAGGGATACGACATCATCTATCTCCAGTCTACAACCCAGTCCTTTCAACAATTCCAAGAAGGCTCCACACCCATTTACACTACTCAGGTGACCCTGAGGACACAGATAAATCTCCAAGTGGCCCCAACAACTCTCTAAAAGAATGCAAATGACCAGCTGTCTGCAAGGGATATAAATCCTTCCATTCCCCATCATCCAGTCAGAGTTGAAGAAGCTTCTTGGATGAAAAGTGAAATATCTTAAAAGAAAAATAAAGTCCAGTTGCCTCTTGAAAAAGCACCTTTGGGATAATTGGATTACTAGTAGAAAAAGTAAAGTGCCTAGAGACAAGACTAATCACTCTGCATCTCAATCAAGAAAATGAGGAACTGAGAGTCAACCAAGAAAATAAAGACTCCTAGTAAAAGCAGAATTTGTATCCAAACTGAACACAGAAAGAAGCAAACAATTATCAATAATAATGAACCCACTTTTTACTAATCCGTTTTTGTTTTTTTAAAAATTTGATTTATATGCCGCCCTTCTCCGGAGACTCAGGGCGGCTTACAATGCGTTAAGCAATAGCCTTCTTACTTTTGTATATTTATACAAAGTCAGCTTATTGCCCCCACAACTGGGTCCTCAATTTACCTACCTTAGAAAGGATGGAAGGCTGAGTCAACCTTGAGCCTGGTGAGATTCGAACCTGCAGTAATTGCAGGCAGCTGTGTTAATAACAGGGTGCTTTAGACCACTGTACTACCAAGGCTCTTGTTGATGAAGGTATGCAGGAAACATGCCAGTATAGTAATGGGGGACTTTCATTACCCTGACATCAACTCTGCTGCAAACTCTGCAGCAAATGGGAGATCAAAACAGGTTCCTGACATGCCTACAACTTTGTCACCCAAAAGATAGAGGGGGGAAGTAGAGGCTCCATTATGCTAGACTTAATTCTTACCAATAGGAATGAAATGTTAGAAGGGGTAGAAGTTATAGGAACCTTGGGGGAGAGTGACTATGTTGTACTAGAATTCAGTATAATGCAGGCACAGCTAATTGAACCAAGTCAAACTAGTATTTTAAACTTTAAGAGAGCTGATTTCAATAAACTAAGAAAAAGATTGTATGGATGGAAACCCTAAAGGAAAAAACAATTCAAGATGTTGGGAAACTCTGAAAAATGAGATCATAAAAGTCTAATCAATGCAAAACCACAGAGAAATAAAAACAAGCAAAACCAGCATGGCTGCATACATGTCTCTCTCATAAACAGAGAGGAAAAAAGGTCAAGTATAAAAAATGGAAAAAGGGACACATAACCAAAGCAGAATATGAGCAAATAGTCCAAATCTGTAAGGACAAGAGTTAGGAAAGCTGAAGAAGCCTTCCCTGGCGCCATGGCAATTCAGAGGGAAATAGTGGGGCTCCTAGGAGCCCCGCGAAAACCCCGTCTGTCAAGCCACTGCCGGCAGGTCTGTGGACCTACCCTGTCCTTTAGGGACGGGGTTAGAAAGGGACCCCTCAGACAGCCGAGAGGAACGGGCAAGTTCCTCAGGGCCAGAGGATTGCCCTCTGCACCGGCGGCAGTGGGAGCAGCAGCCATGGCGGCTGCCTCGAGGCTGCGGCATCCGGGACAAGCAAAGTGCAGGAGGAGAAGCAGGAGCAAGGCGTTTGAAAACTGGGTGAGTGGGATCTATCCTGGTGGAAACAGCCTTTAAATAATGGTTATCAATAAGTGTTCCCTAGCCTTTATAGCAGCTAAGAACTACTTGGGCAAAGGATTTAAAACAATTAACAAAAGGAAGACCCATTAATGGATTATAGTACTTACTGATTGCTTTGGAATTACCGTTCCTTTGGATGGATATAAAATTTGACACTTTTTCCTTCTCTTTAATGAGAATGATTATTTTTGAAGAGAGAGAAAAAGAAGAGGAAATAAACAGAAACCTTTTGAAACTATGAGAAAAGATAAGCGGAGGAAGGCAAAATGGTTGCTAGCGGAGAAGAAGTGAAAGTGCAAAGTGGGGATTGCTTGCCATTTGAAGGAGAAACTTTGTTTCTTGTTTCCCAAACTGGATTATTTTGAGAAAAAACTAAGGAGGCTTGATTTTGGATGAACCTAATCTGTCTATTGGAGAATTTATTGATATTTAAAAAGAAGAAACTAATTGGAACAATTAAAACCGCTGATTAATGGCGTGGCAACAAAAGGGAAGGGCGTGGCAACAGAAGAAGACATGATGATACCATATATGGAACACAAAAAGAACTAAATCTTTTAGACTTTATAACTATAATGATACTGAAACTGAAGAGGAAAAAAAAAGAGTCTGGACAGATTGGAGAAAGGAAAAAATTGGAATATATTGGGTAGCAAGATGAGAAAAATACTACAGTTTGATTAAAATGGATGTAATATCTTGTATGTAATTGAAGGTTAAATAATGTTAGGAGGAGTTTTCCTCTTTCTTTTCTCTCTTTTGTTTTTTTCTTTTTTTTTCTTTCATTTTATTCCTCTCATCTTTTTTTTCTTTTAATTTTTCTTTTTAATCTTTCCTGCTATATTTTATTCTCTTTTATTTCTCCCTTTTTGGTTCTTCTTTTATTTTTCATTATTAATATTACTGTTGTAATTAACCTGGTTAGGCAATAAGAGTACAGACCACAGAAAATCGATTTTAAAGTGGTTTAAAATGTTGTTCTTTATAGAAAACTAAGAGAATCTAAATGAATTTTTGAATATTAATAAGAATTGTTTATAGATTTTATAATTTATTTTCAAGGCAGGAAAAATGTGATTATAGAAAAATTACAAAAAATTGGAAGACTATGAACTGAGTTTTTAAATATTAATAAGAGATTTAATGTTTATAGAAAATTGACCTTAAAGTGGTTTAAAATGTTTTTTTTTCCATAGAAAAATAAGAGAATGGAATGAATTTTTGAATATTAATAAGAATTGTTTATAGATTTTATAATTATGGAAAATTGCTTTTCAAAGTGGTTTAAAAAGTTGTTTTCCATAGAGAAATAAGAAATAAATATGAAATGGGAGAATTTTAAAGAAAATTAATAGTTCAGGAGAGAGTAGGTGAGAAGATATTTGTTATAATGCATTATTATTTCAAATTGGTAAGTTAAAACAAAATGCTATGAACCAGTCAAATAAATGAAAAAGTTAGGAGTGAAGAGAAGTATGATTTTGGTGATTAGATGAAATAAAGCTGTGAACTAGCCATAAATAGGAAGGAGTGGAGAAAGCTTTGCTGGAAAACAGCCAACCGAGTTGTGAACCAGCTCAATAATAGATTTAGGAGGAGTGGAGGTGATAATGGAGTCTATTACGTCTAGGTCTATTACGACCACTCAGCAATTTTAGATCGATCTGCAGCTTTATTTACCACCTATTCCCCAAGATTATCCTGATTATTTAACCCTAAATACTTTGTCCAGTGCCTCTGCCTTCTTTTTTGATCTAATCCTCGGCCATCGCTGGTATCAGGACTGGAGGAGATACAGATATAGAGAGTCTTGGATTATGGGGAGATAGACCACCTTCTCATTGTTTGTTTCAAATGGTTTGGTCGCTGTGAGAGGGCGACCCTTTGAGACCTCTACCCCCACCTCCTTTGGATGGACTTACTACAACCACAAGACTTCCCATCGTCGTGAGAGGGCGATGATGTTCCGATGTATTGACATTTGTAACATACTGGTCTTCCTTTAACATCTATTTCCTCCCTTATTTTTAATTACATGTCTTAACCATCTCTAACACTCTTAGAAGAAAATGATCCTTCATCTCCTTCAACTCGCTCCTATCTTCGATGTATTCAATTGCGGAGCTCCTTGCACTGTGGGATTCCCCCCTCTCGCACGTCTGGCCCTCTCAGTTATCGAGGGCCGCCCTTGAGGACAAGTTTTGGAACCCCGAGAGGTG